GGCAATGTTCTCGATTTACTGGTATGTCTACGTTCCAACCCTCACCTATTGACATGAGGTTTGGATAATGACCAAAAGAATGAGAAGTGGCTGAAATGAGCTTCCTTCGTAGAGGGGCTGAACTCAACCTTAGAGACAGGGTCAGGAGCTCCATCATCAAATGGGGAACTTGGAATAGAGCTGAAACACCTTCACATAAATTAGGGTTGGCTTGTTATGCTGCCATGTACTACTGGAGACAACTTGACCTCATTTCCTTAAATTAATTGTTAAAATTGAATAGTTTTCATTTGATACTATTTCTATCACAACATGTGATTCTTGACCTGCCATTGTGTATCTGTTCCTCCTTCCTGTTCCTCTCAAACCCAGCTGGTCAAAGCAGATGGCCGCTAGTCTTGAGCCTGGTTCTGCTGGAGGTTTCTTCCTCATGAGGGAGTTTTTCCTTTCCACTGTTGCCTTTGTGCTTGCTCAAGATGAGAGTTCTGTGATGGAGTTAAATTCAAAGCAATCTGCTCCTCAGATAAATAGTATAAAATTTTTTTTTTTTAATATAGGAATGTTTCTGTTCAGTGCCCTGAGATGACTTCTGTTGTGAATTGGCGCTATATAAATAAACTGAAACTGAATTGAAATTAAGAAGTCAGTTTAGATGGTTTGGACTTCTGATTAGGATGCTCCCTGGATGCCTCCTTTTGGAGGATTTTCAGGCCCGTTGGTAAGAGGCCCAGAAATCGCTGGAGTGATTGTTTATCTTCTCTGGTCTGGGAACACCTCCAGATCCCGCAGGACAAGCTGGGAAGCATTGCTGGGGAGAGGCATGTCTGGGTTTCTCTCCCTGACCTGTTGCTTTCCTGACCCGACCTCAGATAAGCAGATGGAGATTGAGAACCTTTGCACAGATTCCCACTTCTAAGAATCTGAACTGTCCCTTGGGTACACGAAAACTTTGTGACAATAACAAACCCATCTTAAATTGAACCTGTTAATATCACTATTGTGGTCTGCTCTCTAAAATAGGCCACAATAAGATAAGAAATCAACTCACGGTAAAGCAATCAGTGATTTTTAGACAAAGAAAACAAACAATCACTTAGTGAATGAATTCTGATTAAAAACTGATTCTACTTAAATATGTTGCAAGAGTTTCTTTGTTAGGTTTAGTTTTGCCAGATGAGATGATTTTCTAAATATGTACAGAACACTGGACATCTAAAACTCCAACTCCTACATGTGTCCAGTGAACCACTGTTTTTGTCTGTCCAAACAGGTCTCACTTGTAAATGAGTCTTCGAGGCTCAATGTGATTTATGTGTTTAAATAAAGGTTGAATGAAAAAAAAAATGGTACCATTTCAGATAACAATGCTGCAAACCAAAAACAATCCTAAAATAAGAAAGAGTTCAGTGTAAAGCTATATTTTACACTGAAGGATGGTTGACATGTAATTTTGTTGAAGTGTCCACCAAAACATTTCGTTTTGTGCCATGTTATTTTGTCTCTTTCTTTCGTCTGTTTTTGTCTTTAATGTGGTTGTTTGAACATTGAGTTTTGCACTGCTGTAAAAATAAACTCTGTGTTACTATAGCTGATTATCACAACAGAGTTTGACAAAGATGAATTGTATTTGGCTCGTGTAGCACATAGATTGTGTATATTTATGGTTTCAGCGTGTCCATATGTGATGATTATACCAGCCAGGCTGTCAGATGTTTTGACCTGTGTGGGATGTGATCATAAATGTTGTTATTGGCGTAAAAAAACCTGAAGATGCTCATGTCGGACTTCAAAACAGACTGTTTATAAAGGATATTTTGGCTAATTTTAACAAGTGTTCTACAGAAAAGTTACGAATATTATCTTACCTTTTGTTGACAGCTTTTTTTAATTTAAATTTATTGTAACAGGCATCATTCAAAAATTCTTCAAAGATTGATTAGGAGTTATATAATTAAAATGATAGTCTGGGTAGAGGGTGATACGGGAGTGGATTTTCACTTCTGTCCCATCCCACTCCCACAGGAAAAAAAAATCTTGTCCCGTCCCACTCCCGGTAAAAAGACTCCCACCTAGAGTTGCATTCAGGCCTAAAAACCAGATCCAACCCAGCCCCAGCCCGTAGCCATTTTTTCCCAACATTTTTTTCCGAACAACATTTTTTCCAAACATGACATTTTTCAAAAATCTCTTTCAACCGGCCGGTCAGTGGACATGCGCAGCTGATGATCCCGTTGTCCATCTGAAGCTTAACAAGACTTTTTTTTTTAACCTCTTTCAATTGGCCGGTCGGATCTGCTGCCTCCTCAACAAGTAGATTAACACAATTTTATATTGTGCATTCTTATTTAATATTCTTTGTGCTGTATGATTCGTAAAACTGCATCAAAAGCCCGAGACCGACCCGGCCCGCCCATCAAGTAAATAATTTTAGGCCCGGGCCCAGACTCTGGTTAGAAATCGTCGCTCTACTCCCGCTCCCATTCAGAATGACTCTCACTCCTGGTCTGCTCCCATTGTTAGTTTGTTTTCCTTCATTTAGTCTTCAGGAAATACATCAAATTTAATTTGATGTTTAACTCATTATTTTTTAGATTTTGTGTTCTGCAGTTTTATTTCAAAAGATATGGCAACAGGAACAGTTCATCTGTGTTAAAATAGGAAGACATTTATTGCCTTAATCCAAACAAAAAACCTTCACAAAAGGTCACAAAACATAAATAATAAATACCTGTGGTCTCTATAGTTTTTCTATGGAGGATCAGCCGCTAAGTCCTGGTTTCTAGCTCCTTTGGAGGTCGGTTACAGAAAATAAATAAATAAATAAAAACAATACATGGGCCACTACCTAGGTGAATGAACCCAAACTAACATGTTAAGTTGTATTTTAGCAATTGTTTCCTTTAACCGGTGACATTACTTTTATGTTTTAAATTGCTTAAACAAAAAAACACCCCCCCCCCCCCCCCCACGCAAAAAAATACCGTAATGCACCCAGCAAGAGAACTGTGTTCAACGGACAAAAATGCATAAAGGCATTACCTTCACATCCTGTACATGAGTTTTGGAAACAGTGCCTCTTGAGACCACCCGTCCCTGACTCACAGGTGTACTTGACCCAGACTAAGCAGATTTTACAAACAACATACAGCGTGTTAACACCATCACACTCAACTCTCAAGTTCAGGATTATTTGTGACTTTTCTGTCGGTTCTGTAGGCTTAATAGATAGATCATTACTTCTGACTAGAAATCTATTTTTACCACATCGGTTTCTCCATTAGAGTTTGTTCCCTCCATCGCTTTTCTTTGAATGTCGGCAGAAAGCAGCGGCCGGAAGCACTGTTGAATTCTGGGCCGTGTAGTTCTTTTGACTTGCGTTACAGTGTAGAAAGAAAACTACAAAATGGTGGCGCCTGTCCAAAGTTTTTTGTTTGTTTGTTTATTATCTTATTGGTTGGATCCCGCTCCCATCTGCTCCCATTAACTTTTTATCCCATACAGTCCCATGTGAGTAATATTAAAGTTGACTCCCATCCTACATGAATCCTGCTGGATTCACGTGACCAGTGGAATTCCCAAAAAAATGTCAGAGTCAGCCTCTACTTTGTAGTCATGTCATCTGATTTGCATATTTGTTTGTTTTTGTTTTGTTTATGAATTTCAGCAAAACTATGTTTTCTCCACTCCCTTCTGGTAATTTAAGCTTCTTTCTGATTTTTTTAGCTGATTTTCAGCTGTTTTTTTTTGTTGTTGTTGCTAATTTTATCTTTTTCAGAGAATTTCCACTTTTTTGTGCTCAGTTATGCTTCTTTTAGGGCAAACATGTTCTTTCTGCCTTCTTCTGCTAGTTTAAGCTTGTTATACATTTCCAGCTGCCTTTTTAGCAGTTTTTAGCTAATTTTAGCTGTTTTCAGATACATTCAAGTTGTTCATGGTAATTTTTGCTAGTTTCAACTTAATTAATTATGCTCATTTCAGATTTTTTTTCTGTTAGTTTCAACATTTTCTGATATTTCAGCTACTATGTTGTTTTATGCTAATTTTAGCCTTTTCAGCTAATTACAATTTTTTAGCTCATTTCAGCTCCTTCTGCTTCCTTCCAATAGTTTAAGATTCTTTCTGCCTTTTCAGCTACTTTTTTATTTTGCTAATTTCAGCCTTTTTTTTAGCTAATCTCCTATTTTTTTGTGCTTCTTTCTGCTAATTTATACCTAATGCTGCAAAAACGTGTTCTTTTTGCTTTATTTTGCTAATTAAGACTTGTTCTTTCATTTCAGCTGCAATTCAACATGTTTTTTTAGAACTAAATTCAGCTGTTTTTCAGCAAGTTCTTCTGCATTCACACTACATTTTCGCAGGAAATGCTATTTCTCTAGTTCAATTTGACTTTAGTTACCGCCCAAATCAGCACCAGTGACTTATGGCTTATTCTATTGGACAGCGCACTCAAAGGAACTCTGCCATTGGTTAATATTTCTGTCAATCACTTCTTTCCGTTAGAACTGTGGGCGGAGTCAGTGGCCTGGCTTGGGAAAATTTTCCTAGAGTTTTCTACTCCTTCGAGTTAGACAAAACAACACCGGAAATGGGATGTGTTTATCAAAGTAAAATCGCTTTATTCTTTTATTATGGGTAAAATTAACCACTTTAGCTAATACATAGATGCTAAACAGTTAGAAAAAGGTTTCTGGAGTAATTTCGAGTACAAGTGGGTCCTAATTTATTTATTTTTTGTCAAAAGTATGACCGGAAGTAGCTAGCGTAACTTCAGTTAACTTTGCGTCAAGCTAAAACTTTCTGTCTTCCCCCCCTCTTTTTTTTTTTTTTTTGACTCGGAGTTCACTCAGTCGGTCCTGTTACCACCATCCATTCGTTGTTGATGCTGGAACGGTGATGGAGAGACCCAGGGTTCGGTATCGGCGCCGCTGAGCTTACAACGACCCAGCCTGGCTTGTGGACTGACAGAGAGAGGGAAGAAGAAGGACCGGCGGGCCAGAAGAATGGAAACCGTTGAGCAGCTCGTCTCCTTCCACCATATTCAAGTCCAGCTGAGCGGGGGCGCGCCTTGGGGGTTCACGCTGAAAGGAGGGCTTGAGCACGGAGAGCCGCTCATCATCACTAAAGTGAGTAACATCACATTTCCACGAACTTATGAATAAACTTCTTAACTCTATAGGCTCAAAACTGCTTTAACGGTGTGTGCAAAGTTATTGTATTTGTGCTTAATAGTATTCGCTTAATTTCAGATTTAGTTCTACTGATGAAATATTTCATCATTTTTATACATGCATGGCCTTTCTGTTTCAACTGCTGCTACAAAAGTGTGCATAAACAGTGTACTGCTTATGTTTTGTACTTTACAAAACAGGATCTAAAGGTCATTTTCTCCCTCATCTTTTTTTGCAGAAAACACAAAGGGATATTTTCTTAAATTAAAACAATAAAAGGCCTAAACTTCACTGAACAAGTGCATATCCTGACACATTTCACGATTTGTGTGAAACTGTTGATCGTGTTGAGAATTGATGTTGCAGTCTTTTTAATACCTTAAAAATAACCTTATGTACAATCTCATGATGTAGCGAGTTGTCACACTCAAAGTGTACGTTGTGGATGACTCTCAGCTACCACCACATGACATTTCAGCTTAACATTTGTAAAACTGACTGAGCTATAGCTGTTTTTGTGTTTTAAAAAGTTGATTAACTGAACTGACTCCAGAAGGTAAAGATTTGTACATGTACATCCAGTAGTTACTTTCTAAAAGTTATTAAAATTTGTCCAGAGATTCAGGAAGTATTTTGCTAACAGACAAAGGTTTGTGATTTCATCATTTAATGCTATACTTTAAGGTAAAGATCTTTTGCAATAAGTAGTGCTTAAAGTATGTCCTAGGGATGACTCTTTAGCTACTGCTGCACAAAATTTGAGGACAATAGCTGTAAAATTTATACAACTACGGCCATTTTGTGTTTTCGGAGATCATTTAGCTGTTGTGGCCATTTTTAATTATGTTGGCTCCGAAAGTTAATCGGCTGTAGAAATCCATTCATTGTTTATTTCCTGAATGTTTTATTAAAAAAATATCTTACAGTTTTTGAGATATTTTGCCAACAGACAAACAGTGTAGTCCTAATATGTAACAGCAAATTTTCACATGAAGATCTTGTGCAATCTGTTAGTGCTCAGAATATGTGTTTGAGATCTGTCTCAGCTACTACCACCCCAAGTTTTAGCTCAATATCTGTAAAAATGACTGAATTTGGCAGCGGCAAGTAAATATATCGATAAGCTTTGCAGAAGGAGATGCAGTGGGTCACTTCTCATTTCTTTTTTTCTGCTCTAACAATAAAAAAGTTATTGTCCAAAACTCAAGCAAAAATCCGCTGTCAGGTTCGGTGAACAAGACATAGCTCTACATTTTCTAATGCTACATTTGAGTCTTAAAACCTGCAGGTCAAAGGGTCACCCCCACTCCCCACCCCCATCCCGGGTTGCTAAAAGGAGTTCCCGTGGGGTTCCCAGATGAAAAGAGGCGTTCATGTCCCTGTTACTTCATTCACTGCTTTGCAAAAAGAAAAAAAACACCCAAGTGTTGACAGATGACTGAAACCACTTCACAGACGGCAGAGTCCGAGGCAGAAATGATGCACGAGGAGGGAGTGTGTGTGTGTGTGTGTGTGTGTGTGGGATGTGGGAATCCTTGAAATGAAAGCTGGTGATTCACTGATACCACATTCTTAGAATACCTTGCTTTTCACGTGGTTCATTTAATTTTTTTTCAAACAACATAGCGTCTCATCCACAAAGCAGACTTTAAAAATACTTATTGCAAAATATAAAATACAAGGTATAAGGTTCCTTTGTTTGTTCTTGTATTTGCATACAACAAAACTGTGTGTACTCTAAAGTTGAAGCGGTACAGCTTGTATAAAAACGCACTAATGTAAAAATATTGCTTCGAATGATAGATGTCAGTGACGTCGATTGATGAAAAAGTGCACGGATAACAGAAGATTTCGTGTAGGGTGCGTGTCATTGATTCGCCACGCAGTGTTTCCCCTACCATTATACAAGCAGGGCGCCACCGAGAGCCCCGCCCACTGAACCGAACTGCGTGCACTTTTTTATATGTAAAATGCTGCTCTGTTGCTGTTCATTTATTTAAGTGAGACGACCGGAAACTGTTAAGAGTCAACAACATATTCTTTTGTTTCAAACATATGGCTAAAACTACATTTGATATCTTGCACTGTTTTGTACTACAAGAAAGAAGCCTAATACTTAATTTGTTTATTATTTAAAAACTCTCTGGACTTAGTTGTGGAATTTTCTTAATTGAGATTATTTTGTGGTATAGCAGTTTTCAAAATAAATGATGACAAAATTATGCTTTTTTTCATTCCTATTGCAAGTTTTATACCAAATACATATCGTGATATATATCGTTATCGCCACCCTTCACAATACATATGTGATATGAATTTTATGCCATATCGCACATCCCTACTATAAGTGTAGATAAACAAATATGGCAGACTTCAACTTAGAATCAAAGAGACGGCAAAACTTCTTCTAGAATGCTAAATTTACAGTTCCATCTTAAGCTGCCTTTGTCTGCATACTTAACTTAAAAATATTTGAAGGTAAATATTTATCAAAATATTAAAATTGTTGAACGTCTCCATCCTAAACGGCTCTACCATGGACGTTGTTGTCGACGACCTATTTTCAGTCACTTGGGCTGTTTCCTTAGGTAAACATTCGCATGTGGTTGTTGGCAGCCACATATTTTGCTTACAAACTTTTAATTGCAAAGTTTAAGGTAACTTTAGTTTTCAGCTTTAGGAGGTATTTTTTACTAGATTCATGTGTTCCTCTGCTGTGACCTTGTGCGACGAAGCTGAGGGGGTCAAAGTTTCCTGCTTGTCTTCTCTGGTGGTTTTGCGCTTCAGGCATTTCAAGCCACTGAAAACAGGGAGCGTGTCTTTGAATTACTGCAAGTAATTATTAGTGTGTGTGTGTGTGTGTTTTGCTGGGGGTGGCCTGTCACTGTGAGCTGTCTTTGGACAGATGTCTGCTGTCTTTCCTGCGTTTTGTTGAGAAGTCGCAGAATCAGTAGCGGCGGCGTTGGTGTTCGTATAAAATGTTGGCCGGTGCGCATCAACATTTACCGCAGCAGGGAATGGAAACGCTTGGCTCAGTCATCTGGAAACACATTGTACATAGTCGCACACAGCCCCTGGGAAAATGTGACTGAAGGAGATAAAAATCTAACTCTGCTCCACTGGCTAGTTTCAACTCAAACACACCAACGTACAGGCATCAGGACAGGACTGACTGCAGGGCAACAAGGAAAAATGTTTCACAGAAGTCTATTATCAAGAAGATAAACAGAGAAAGGGTATGGTAGAGGTGTGAGTGTTTGTAAGACTCGAGTGTTTAATGAGTTTCGGGTTTAGTGAGAACTTGTTGAATTTCCATCAGTTTGAACACATTGGTTCACTGTGTTGGGACTTTCTGGACAGATTACAGGGAGGCGGTTCCTAAACAAACAACACGTTCATCAGTGTTCTCGCTAAAAAGGAAAAACATCCATTAAAGACTTGATCATTATTAAAATTGAGAACCTATACAATTTAAACTATCACACACTTACACTCTCCTCCTCATCCTCGTTTTCCACTCTTTCATTCTCAGCAAGGTGACTCCATCATCTCCACAGTCTTCCTCTGTTGACTACAAAGAACATAGCTATCATTTAGATTTCAGATTTTAATAGCTGCATAGGACAGTTGTGCGTGAATGACATTTCACCTGCTCAGTCAGCTTTCTCTGGCTCTGGTCCCAGACACCGTCATCCATCTTCTGTTTAAAGTGTGGATCCAACGCAGTGGCCACTTGGAGAAAGTTCCTGATCTCATCATTCTGCAAAACACATATTCTTAAAATGTTTGTCCAAGCCACAGGAACAAAGATATTTCTATTCTTCAGTAATTTCTTTCCTGCTACGCCTGTCTTAGTCACTTACCTGGTAGCGCTTGGATAGGTTTGCCCACACTGTCTCTTTCACAGCCAGGTGTGCCTTGAGCTTTTAGAGTATGGTAGTATCTGTCTGCAGTGGTTAATTTGAGCCAGATCCTGCCGGAACAAGATCCGGGAACTCTCTCTTGACCGCGTGCGTTCCTGCAACTGTTTGCTCAGATCCAGCAACTCAAATCTCTGTCCCTAAAAGTCCAAAGTCATCGCACATTTTTTATTTTTGATTATTTATTAAAAATACAACGAGAGGGGACTTTTGTCCAGTCTGTGGAGTGTTTGTTCCGGCCGGAGCACGCGCACCAGCTCGTGCGCACGTTCCTGCCCAGCAGAGACGCGGACCGCATGTCTCGCGGGGATGAGCGTCTTCATCCACCTTCAGCTGTGTGTCCTGCAGACAGTGCATGTTTTACGTACAAGAGAGTCTCCAGACAACTCTGCAGAGCGCGCGCACGGCACGACTGCTAATGTGTCGGAACTCCTGCATACATTACCGCAGTGCAAAACATTTCAGACATAATAAATAAAAAAAGCTTACAGTTAGGAATGCGCAATATATACGGTAGAAACAATAGACATTTAGCGTATGACAGAGATCTGTCTTCTACCGGCTAACCGCAGTAATGCTGTGTCTGATGTAAAATCAGAGTTGTCAGATTTCATAGTTACTTTTTTTAATTGAAAACTGTGCGTAAGTGGTGTTAAAGTCCTTTCTTCGAGAGCTACTTAATGAAGCTACAATCTAACTATGGCTGGCTTGTGGTAATTTTGCCGTATTCGGACGCATGCGCAAAACGCTGTGTTCCGTCAAAATTATTATATTTTTTTCCGGTCGAAAGTTAAAGTAAGCGTTGGTCAGTTTTAGAGAAACCTGCTCTCTGAGCTATAAAAAGTACGCTGTGTTGTGTGATTTTACTGTGAGACCCTCTGGTCAAAGCCCCAGAGGAAACTGGTCGCCATTTTGTGTCAGCTCTCCTTAAAACGGAAGGAGCCGCCCACTAGAGTGTTGGAGGGTGAAGTGTTTTCAGTTTGCACTTGCTGCTCTGTTGCTGTTCATTTCTTAAGTGAGAAGACTGGAAACTGT